CGCCACGGTTTGACCTCATGCGACACCTCATTTACTTTTATCAAAAGAGATACATGAAAGCAGCATCAAATCTTGTTGGGATCTATAATGGCATCATTGATATGTGTATCAAAAATGAGCTAGTGCAGTTTGCCAAATTTGATCCATTTAATGATGATTAAGGAAAATATATCGCTCGCTTGAATTTCATGCTTTAACTTATCTTTAAGAAACAAGTTCAGGAATTATTTCCAAATGTAAATGTAAACTCCGCATATATTTGGTGCTGATGGTAAGCAACTGTAGCGCAGAACGTTCATTCTCGAAATTTAAACTCTTAAAGAATCAATTTTGCGCATTGATGTGCAGTGATTGGTTGTCTTAATAGCTATAATGAGCTAAGAGGTAAACTTTTTACGCGATACCAACTGGCTTTGCAAAAAAGAAAGCACGAAATGTTTCACTGCTTGAAAACTTATAAATGTTAGTTTCTACTTTAATATTAGCTTAATTAATAAAGAAGTTGTCGTATTGTTAATATAAAAAGCATGTAAATGTTTCTGTGCTTGGTTAGGCCCTCATAAGTAGAGGGGAACCCTGCCCCATGGCACACCTTGCTCATGCCTAAATCCATCCCTGTTGGTTTGGTCTTAATTTCTAAACAATTGTGCAACTGCAAATCGTTCTGTTCATGTAAAACAAGAGTACTTTATTATTTTGTCACGATGAAAAGTTTAAAAAAAACTTAAGTTTACAAAATTCCTAATTTTTGCATCAAAGCTAATATTGTAAAAACTTACAATTACATAGTGTTGTTTATTTAGAGCTATGTTATTATAATGTAAAATTGTGATGCTTATGTAAAGTTATGTAAAAAGGAAGTATTAACTAAACTTTAAAAATATTTGATGCGGAAGTTTGCTTTGATCGAACAAATAAAATAATAATCTGTTTTTTGAAACAGTTCTCTCAATAATGGCCAATGAGAAACCTGTGTTAAAGAAAAAAACAAAAACAAATCACATATAACAACAAAAAATTGCGCTGTTAAAGATTTCATAAGATGTACTAAGAAGTGCTAACAAGAAAGATTTACCGTAACACAGAAAGTTCTGAATTCTCTCAAAGAAAAACCTCAAAAGAGAAAGTCTATTTTTGTTTTCAAGGAAGACCATGGTTTTATTAAGTGGTGGTATCAGACCACAAGAAATTTAACATTTAAAAAAACTTGAAAAATATACTTTTAAAATTAACTTACACTTTAAATTTCGGTACAAAGCAGATTTGATTACAAATTAGATTTCGTAACAAATTAGATTAGATTCCTTAGATCAGCTTAATTGAAGTTTAAATTGAACAATTTGATTTTTTCGGATATAAGTTCTTTTCCAAATTCAGATTAATGGAAGTATTTTATAGATGTATATTATATGAAAGAAAATGTAAAAACAATTGTAAATCAAGTTAATACAAATTTTATTTAACAAACAAGTGAAACCTCAAAAAACCTCAAACCAATAATTATCTAAGAAGATTTCAACAAAGATTGTTTTATTAGGTGAAAACCACTATAATTAACAACCAAGATCACATTTTTTTAATTATAAACCTAGGATCACAGGTTGTTAATTATAGTGTAAAATATTACAACTGAGTTAAAAAAAAAAATAAATTTTATTCCTACAAAGCTGGTTATTCTTACTTAAGTTGCAACAATTTTCAACAATTTAAATAATTATAAGTTACTATATAACTATAAATTAAATTTTTTTATTTTTTTACTTCTTCAAAAAAACTTAATTAGTCTTCTCACAGATAACCGCAAAGTTTAATGAATAAGCTTTTGCTTCGCGTTATGATCAGAACAAGCTCCAGATTTGGATTTCTTGGTAAGAGGCTAATACTGTGTGCCACGTCTATTTAATTATTTTGGTTGTTATACATTAATTCTTGATGCTAGAGGACTGCAGTGTTTTTGCAATTTAATTTTTGCTACTAAACTCTTCAGGGGATTTTTGGCTGGTTTCACTAGATAATTTTACACATAGGGTAGATTATGGTTAAATGAGCTTTTGGCTAAATTGAGCGTACATAACGGTTTCTATTATATATCCAATAAAAATAAAGATTTGTATATTTGAATTACAATTAAATTAGATGAGAATAGCAAAAACCAATATGATTAGAGAATATATGTAAGGAGAAATTCGCGGTCTCACGTAGTAGAAACGCAATTTAATATTTCGTTTGATAATATATTACTTTCACATAAGAAGGAATCTGTGGCACAAAATTTTGTTTATGAAATATACATATTTAATTTTTCCTTAAGCAGAGTTTGGCGGCTAGTACTCTGAACTATGTGCTATTTTTATTTTTTACTTTACTTAAACACGATTTTGTTTTCAACGTAAACATCATGTGACCATTTTGAAACATTCAATCAAAATAAATACAAAATGCCATTTTTCTTTTTTTTTCCGGTATATAACACAAAAGATCATACTTCCAAACTAAATATAAATGTATCTGAAAAAATTTTAAATTCAGTTGTAATATTTCACTTAACAACCTGTAATCTCTGGTTATTAATTATAATGGTTCCCACCTAATAAAACAACCTTGTATGAAATCTTCTTGGATTGGTTGGTTGGTTGGATAGTTGGTTTGAGATTTCACGTGTTTATTAATTAGTGAAGGGAAAACAATTAGCATTTTTATTTTGTCTTTTTTTTTTTTTTTTACATTGATATATTAATTTTTTTTTAATTTTTGTTTTAGGTGCCCCAAGAAGACCTAACGGTCTTGTTTCAGAGCACCGCGGAAGAGGATTTAAATAAGAAGTTCATGCCTCCTTCCTTAACAATGGCGCGAAACTAGTAGCAAATACCCCTATACCGATTTTTTACTTTACTTATAATCTCCCATAATCAAGATCACTATCATTCATCAATCAAAATCAAATTCTTAATCAAATATCATTTTTTTATTTTTTACTTGTCAGGAACAAACAGAAAAATACTATTTTTGTCTACTTTTTGTTTAATGGTTAACGTGTGTATGTGTATGTTTGTGTGCATGAGCGTGTGTGTTTGTGTATTTGTGTGTGCATATGTGTGTGTGTGTGTGAGAGAGAGAGAGAGAGAGAGAGAGAGTAAAAGTGCAATATTATTAAAATAATAAAGGTTTTTTAAACAAAAATTGTAAAATAACTTTAAGAAACTAATTTATTTAAAAATCTTCATAGCAAAGCAATGAAAAAGTTTCTATTTATACCAACGATATCAGTTGATCCTTAGTTTTAATGATCTATACCAATCTTCTAATACAATAGCGTAAACCTTTACGCCAGAAATAAAAGACCTAACCTATAGATTGCATTATAAGATTAAAGGACTTGTTTTAATATTAAAGAGGCTAAAGAATTATCTTCTTTTACTAGAGTTTCAATATATATTCAGAAGATAATACTTCCCCTCAGAATTTTAATAACTTATATTGTGAAACGGTTGCACATAACTAAAATACTTGGGAAACCTTTGACTGTTTTAATTGAAAACATTAAATATTTGCTAAAAAAAAAGCTGCAGCAACTTATTCAGCATTTCATTGATACAGCTGTACCCAAAACTGCACAACTATCAACCTACCCAAATGTATTTACCCAAATGTTACTTATGCTTCTTAAATACACACAATTTTATTTACAAAATGTATAGCTCTGAAAAGTTCAAAAAATCCTTAGGCAATACGTAATAAGCTAATATAGTACAAAAAGAAGGTTCTCCCCTAATAAAAAATTTTTCATAATCCTCTGTTTTTTTTACTTACCTCTTTTTCTTTTATTAGAATTTGTAATATAATTATAATTTAGACATAATTGTTTCATATGTTTCATTTGCTTACAAGAAACCAAACAGTTTGTATCACGCGAAAAAATGTAATATGTTTTGCCGAAAATTTAAGCCCGAATTTCTGAAATATTTTAGCAAAAGTTTCTCATACAAACGAATGTTTGGAGGCTACAAGTTTCTTGAAGGTTACTTAACTCAAATAACAAAAAAACCTGAACCGTGTAATTCTAATAATAAACATATACTTAACAAAGCATTAATAATTTTTTTGTGCTAGGCTGTCACATATACATATTGAGCACTGCCTGGAGCAATCCTAAAATTTCCTTTCAAAACTAAAAAAGGGAAACAAAATGGGCAAAACCTTTAGCTAAAGTTTTTAAATATTTTTATATTTATATATGTATATATATATATATATACATATATATATATATATATATATATATATATATATATATATATATATATATATATATATATATATATATATATATATATATATATATATATATATATATATATATAAATATATATATATATATATATATATATATATGTATATATATATATACACATATATATATACACATATATATATATATATATATATATATATATATATATATATATATATATATATATATATATATATATAAATATATATATATATATATATATATATATATATATATATATATATATATATATATGTATATATATATATACACATATATATATACACATATATATATATATATATATATATATATATATATATATATATATATATATATATATATATATATATATATATATATATATATATATATATATATATACATAAACAAGTCTTTTCATTTACTAAAGTTGATAAACTAATATTGAATATTGTATTAAGTTTTTCAAAATGGTTAAAGTCATGAAGAAGATGGAATATAGTTTTATTTAAAGTTAACACTCAATACTGGCCCTACTTGCAACTTTTTGATATTGGTTTCCAAATATTTTGAATATTATGCATTTACCATTCATTTAAGGAGTGTGTAATTCTTTGCAATGCAGCTATTATATCTGATATCATATTACATAAAACAGTATTTTAGCGTCAAAAATATTTTATGTCAATATGTTGAAAGATAATATTTGAAAAAAACAACAAATATTTTTTAATGGATAGAAAAATATATGTACTATATACTATTTTAAATATATGTTTTAAAGAAACTACAAAAACAGAAGTTTACAAGGGTATAATCTGTTAAAGCAAGAAGCGTGATTTATTTAAAACTAGAATGCATGTTAGTTTTCATACACTTAGTTTGATAATTGCTACATTTATGCTACTAATATTGCCAGACCCTTCATATGCTTTAAAAAAAAAGAACTCAAGAAGCAAAAAGGATAAAAATCCACCAAAAACTGTATTTATAAATACTTGGGCAGTTGTTGTAAATGGAGATGATGCAATGGCAATGAAAGTAGCGGGAGAAAACGGGTTCATAAACCTGGGAAAAGTACGTATTATTTTTCACTAACATTTTTTTCAATCTTTTCCGCTGATGTTTTTTGATTTATAATATCCCTAATATCATTTGAAGTTAACAATTAGCATAGTAGGTGTGATGTAATTAATCTTCATTTTTGATAAAGAATAATTACTCTACTTGTTAACACTACGTTAAGCTGTGAATAAGGCTAAGCAAATTATTTCATCTATCATACTGTTTTATTTAAGCTTTTTTAAAGGTTTTCAACTTTTTTTAATTATTATTATTAACACTTCTTTTGGTCGGCTATTAAAACGATTTGTTGCGTCATATTACCGCAATGTACGCTGCAATTACCTGTCGTTTAAAAGTAACTAACTTCTTTTAAATTACTATTTATTGAAAGAAAAAAAAAACATCTTCTAACAACTTTTTTTTACATTAGTTTTTTTTACATTAATATAAACCCTCTATTATAAAATATAAAGAAGTTTAATGCAATTTATTTTAATGTCAATGTAAGTGTAGAAACAAATATATTTATTTTTAAAAGTGTAGAAAGAAATATTGAGTGTATTTATTAAAAAAAAACTTTTCGTGAAAAAGTACGTAAAATGTATAACAAAAAAGTAATTATAAATAAAAAAAGTAATATGAAAAGATTTTACAGTTTTAATTGTTTAAAAATATCGATTGATTTTTATTTGCGAAAAACATTTATGCAGAGAATCTTATAATTATGCAAAGAATCTTATAATTATGTAGAGAATCTTATAGTTATGCAAAGTAGTTTATAAAACTAGCTCAAGTTGTATCTACATTTTAAATGAAGGAATTTCACCTTTATATATACACGTTATTCATTTAATAAATAAAATTCTAGTTTGAATGTTACTAGACCTAACAAATTTTACGCGATAAAAACACGATAACACGTTCACAGGAATACTTAAATTTTAAAAAGATGATTACGCTCAAGTGACGCTTTTTTGAAGTGGAGAGTTTAAAATACGTCAATGCGGCGCTTTCACATGTCTAAAATATTTAATGGTTAAGTACTTTCACCAGAAACAAAAATGTGTTTTATATTTCATTAAAAAACATCTGAAAATAATGTTTTTTATATTTCATTAAAAAACATCTAAAAATAATGTTTTTTATATTAAATATAAAAAACATTATTTTTAGATCTTTTAAATGAAATTCATTAAAAATCATCTAAAAAACACTTTGAATAACAAAGAACTTTTTAAAAAAAATTTTTTACGAGCTTTTTAGATCTTTTAAATAAGTTTAGATCTTTTTTAAATAAGTTTTAGATCTTTTTATTAAGTTGTATTTTCTTGTAAATGTAAACCGCAAACCGGGGTTATACTTTGATTAGCGAGATAACTTTAAGAACAAATCTTTTTTTTCTTCAATTTGTAATTATGCCAAAAATTTATCTGAAACTGTTCAAACCTTAAACATCAAAGTATTAAAAATAGTTTACATTTTGATTATTTAAAGTTTTACTTTGTTTATTGTTTGCTATTGTTCCTTAAACAATCATATCAATATTTAGGATATTTTTCTCAAAAAAATTTATTTTAATAAATTTATTAAGCATCTAAAATCTAAAGGAGTTTTTTAGTCTACTATTGGAGAAAATCGGGCAGCCCGGACGGCGGGTAACTCCGGACACTTGATGTACAGCTTAAACTAAAGAAGCTATGTAATTTTTAATACTATAAAAACATTATTTGAATGAAAATATGGCATATGCAAAATATTTATCAAATATCTATGTAGAAGGAATTGGCTGGAAGTGCAAGATATTGTTTCCCACCACCAGAAGAGCGATGTATCACCATATTTGATTCACATATTAATATACCTAACTTTTTACGTAAACAAATAGTTTTTTATTGCTTAAAAATAAAAAAATTTATTGATTTTAATACTTTTTATTTACTTCACTGGTTATAAAATTAGTATTTGTGAATGAGCTATGATCGGGTGGTATCGGACACAAGTTTGGAGGGTGGTTCTGGACAACTTAATACATTTTCATATTAAAAATAAGCAACTTTTTATATAAATAATAGTACATTTCATATAATACTCAAACACGTAATAGTAATTCATTTAATTCCAATAAAAAGACCTAAGATTTGAAAAGAGTGTTTAAAATTAAAAAAAAAGTGGTTTAAAGTTTATTTTCATTAGTAAACGTTTTCATTAGTTTAATGTTTATTTTCATTAGTAAAAAGCTTATGTGTATATTTTTAAATGATGACATTTTCATTCCAATTCCTTATATAACAGAAGCAATTTTTAAAAGCGGTTTTTTTTAATGTATTGAGAACAATCCGATGCTAACTTATTATATTTGTGTCACACAGGTAAAATAAGGTAAAATCATCGTTAACCTATCTGCCTACACCAACCTCCCAATTTTGAAACATGCCTTTTTTCTATTTTTTTTTCTTTTACACTTTTTATACTTTTTTTTTATACTTTTAAGGAACACAATAATTATTTTTTTGTTTCTAATTTGATAGATAAATGTTTATACTTTTAAAAAAGTTTTTTGACACTTTGTTTTCTATAAATACATGTGCGCAATTTATTTTTTCCTTAAGGGTCCGGGGCTACTCGACACACCTAGTTATTTTCCATACTATAGAATAACATTCTTTATTGCAAACATATTTTTGCATACCCAACGCATGTATTTCAATGTATGTTTGTCAGATCAAAAAGTAATCAGTAACTTAGTAGCTTTTAGTGTTTTTAAGCTTGCAGTGTTTTTAAAAAATATGGTATTTACCCATTAAATGTAAGTACTACCCTCGATCGTTTGCCAGATGGTGATAAAATCATTAAAACTGTTAAAAACAATGTTAGCAATAAAATATTTTGCGGCAAAATATATTTTTGCAACCAAACCACGTATTTTGTGAATATTTTTAAACATTTTTAAACGTTTTAATTACTGCGGTTACTTGAAAATCAATAAAGAAGCGAGTATTTAAACAAAAATAATGCAACCTTTGTAACGTGGCATATATATTGTTAAAACTATGCGTACTTCATAAGCAATGTTAAATCATCAAGTTGCTTATGACGTTTGCACCTTCTAACATCGTGTGCAATTTCTGTCCGCTTTCACTATGTTAACTTTCTAACATGACTTCTTCCAACTGTTACTCTAAAATAACTTCGTTCTTCACAAACTCACCTTACTCTTGGTCCGTAAAGCAGGTTATGACGCTCCTCGGGAGCCGAACTTGTCGGGTCTAGGTAATGTGGCTTCTGTATGGCATCTAGCCGGAGTAGGATAAATCACAATACCTATTGTTAAAATTATCGAATGAAGGTAATGTCAAAACTGAACCAATTATCAAAGACGTTGAATCAAGCAACACATAAAATAAGACTCAACCAGAATTGTTAGCCTTAAGGCAAAAAATTGAGGCCTTGGCCTTGGCCTCGGCCTTGAAACTGTTGGGCTTAACTTTAGTCTTGGCCTTGAAAATTTTATCCTTGGCCTAAAAAAAAAAATACACATTTTCCTTGTTGATTTAGTCGAATTCTGCTCATAACCTTGGTCTATTTTTACAAAATGTGGTTTCATTTTTACCGCACTTGCTACTTACAATTTCGTTAATATTAGGCCCTAATCCTAATTTTCAAAATTGGCCCTAACAATTTAGTTAATTTTTGACCCTTTTGATATGAGAAAACCAATTGCAGAAGTTTGAAATTAATAGGATACATTGTAATCATATGGGTAACAAAATAAAGGTTGAAACAACTAGATAATTGATTATACCAATTTAAACGCATGTTTGTAAAACTAAAATACTTGAAGATGCGAGATGAGCAACTGATGCAGAGATAATTAAATACGCTTTATTTATGGAGGTAGATATTAGAGGTGTACCGGATATTGTTGCCGGATATGCCGGATTTTGAACTTTTCTAAAGTTTTATAAGTGTTTATGAAGAAAAAATAAGTCTTGTCAGTGTACAATAAATACTATTCAAGGTCTTACTTTAATAAATCAAGAGAAAAACTGTATGACATGGCATATGTGCTGACGAAGTATAGAAAATAGTAATTAAAAAAATAAAAATTTGGCTGTAAAAACGATTTTTCCTTATACATTATTAACGCATATACCAGTGTTATACCAGTTTTTTATCGATTTTATTTTTTTAAATCTTGAACACTATTTAATTTAGAATGGCAAGGCTTGTTTTTTCTTCATAAACACTTATAGAACTTTAGAAAAGTTCAATATCCGGCAAATATATCCGGTACACCTCTAGTAGATATTCAAGTATACAGCAAATATGGAGCGAAAACAAAATGGATGACCTACCCATGCAGTTTATGGCTTGTAATTGTTCTATATTTCTAGACAATTCAAGTGGAATCCACTTTGATGCTGTGATTAAAAGTAGAAAATCTAATGTATTTACTTATGTATTTATTTCACGAACTTTATTTATTGTTGATTAATTTAAATTATTCTATTTTTGTATTTGCTCCATATTAACTGTATATATATAAGGATATCTACCCGCCATAAATGAAGCATATCCTATAATAACCTCGTCAGTATTTTTATATATGAATATATTCGTTCTATGGAGTTTCAAAGAGTTAGGTTAAAGCGTCGGCGACACTTTGTTTATTAATAACATTTTGTCATTTGGTTTAATCGCTACAAAAATTTTGTTCATATTAAACGGAGTCTCTCTTAAATGGTTTTCAAAAAGCTACAATTTTTAAATGTTAATAATTATTATTAGTTTAAATTAATAAATGTTGGATAATTTGTGGTGGATGATTAGAAGATGTGTGGATGTATTGAAGATTATCGTTGGGTTTTTTTGAAAAGCATATGGGTGTTTTGGACTGAATTAAAGGTGATATCAAGGAAGATTTGATATCCTATATCTTTAAATTTTTGAATTACGTTTTTTCAAACTCGTTCCTGCCTTCCGTAAGAATTACGTATTATCATCAAGCGGTC